AGGCATTAGGCCTCTGATGGCTTTCATTACCTGTAATAAAAACAGTGTACACAACATTTTGGTAAAATATGGCTTCACTTCAACTTTTGTCTGGTGTTTTCAGATAAATTTGTATCTCTCTTTAAAACCACACAATATTCCTGCCTAATTAAACTGTTAACTTTTCCTACGCTCAGCTCAGCTAAATTTTGTTCCCAATGAATCTCCAATTTTAACTCAATGAAAACGGCCACTGCATTCAAGCCTAAGATTTCTCTGCACAAACATTCTAGTTTCTGTATTCCCTTTCTCCCAACTATTTCCCTGGAAAATATATGTATGCACATTTACTGATGTAATCACTTAGAAAATTGTTACTCCACAATAGTTGGATGTCATTTTCACTCCTTTTTTATCCCGTAGAAATCATAAAAAGGTTGCCCCTTTTCAATATTTCTCAACTAATACTTTTTTATGCATAAAAATGCATTCTTTTCAGCCCATTTGGTCAAATTAAGAAAATTAATCATCCTCGATAGAATCATAAATCAATTTTATTTTATTTTTAATTAGATGTTCAAAAGGATCATTTTTGGTCTCCGAAAATAATCTTCTTTTGATGAGTGATCCACCCAATATAAAGGTCACCATCTGGTTTTAAGGGATCTGAGTGCGAAACATTGTTTCACTTTTTCCTGTGGAAGAAGACATGGAACACACACAACGAAGAAACTATCAGTCCTCGGCAGTGTTGGAAAAAAAAAATCTTAAAAAGAAGAAAAAAATCCGGGGTCCTATCAATGAATGTTCATCCCATCCAATTAAATTAATTAAATGAATTAAACTGAAGATAAATAAAAAGTTATGGGGGAAAAAACCAACCTGCTCAGGCCGGAGGAGGACAAAATCACCCAATACAATAACAGCGCCAGATTCATCGAGCTTTTTAGCGAACTCCATTCCTTGATGAACACTCGAGCAATTTTTAATGCAAATCTGTAAATAATCTGAATAAGAAATATAATCATTTTCAATATGCTTAAGACTTTCCTTCACCATTTCAAGCTGCGACAATCTTAGAATCTTTTTGACATCCTCCACTGTCAGCTTCTTATTCGTCGACGGCGGCACCTCTCCCGCTGGAGGACTCAATCCTTCAATCCTGATCCGGTCTCGGGTCATGTCCATCGCCCGGAGTTTCTCCAGCAGCTTTTTTCCGGTGGGCAGGGACCGAATTTCAGGAGATATGGCCACCGAGTGACGGTGCAAGTACCGCCGGAAAATCCCATCATCTCCGGGATCCAGAGCCAGTTTATTTAGCTTTGGCTGTGGATTTGATAGGGCATTAACAGCTGTTGACGATGAGGAAATCCGGTAATTTGTTAAAGCCGGAATGTTGATTCTAGACATGCTGAAAAGACGTTGGGCTAATGTTTTCTTTAACGCCATTGATGAATAATCTTGAAAGATTATTAGTATGTTTTATGAGAGAGAAAAGAAAAGAGACAAGGATTGCTTCAACAATGGTGGATTATTTCGGGAGACTTTCGTGTTTATATATAGTAAAATTTTCGAATATTCGCACATGAAAAAGAAAATATTCATTGTTTCTATATCAAAAATTCACGAGAAATAAAATAAAAACCGAACATGTGGCTGGCTGAAGATGAGAGGGCATGCACCGTTTGATTAATAGAAAATATATCTTTGTTGGCTGAATTAATCATAGTTTACACGTGGTAATTAAATAATGGTAGATGGAATAAAAGAGTCAACGAATTGCGATTGTAGAGGATAAGTTCCTAAAAGTGACGTGGTTATGGAGTGGTAGTGAATTGACGGCCTGTGAAGCTTGTAATGGAGGTTTATGGTGGGTTAGACGCAAACGTGTCGCCACATAATATTTGGGGGACAGCTGGCAGTTCTTTAGCTTTATGTGTTGTGCGCGGCGAAGCGTGTGAATAGGAGCCGAACTTGCAGCGCAAGGGATGATGTTGAACCTCGATCCAGCCTGCTCGCATTATAGATTCGTTTAATTGATTTTATCATTTTATGATAAATCACTTATCACGTAGACATTTAATTCGTTCTACGTGAAATGTTTAATTGAATTTAACATATCATGCTAAATAAATTATACTGATATTAGACAGCATTATTACTGCACATCATTAATCTTGATGGATAACGTAATGTGCGCCAACAAACACGAATTGTATAGTCCATTAAAATCCTATGCTATTTTTGTAGTATTTCGTTATTTCGCTGAAGAAAAAAACTAAAATTGTGACGTGCGAAAATAGAGCAAGCCGTTGCTTGCATAATTGACCATCTTAAGATAGCCATTCAAAAAACAATGCACCTAATTGTAACTAATTTGATATTGAAATTGTTAATTGAAGACACTCATTATATAAGGCCTTAATTCAGAACACTTTTATTTTTTATTTCACGTTGAAAACATGTAGAGTACATCAATTTAATTATATTCAACATATGATGCAACTAATACCGTGATTAAGTTAATTTGCAGTACTTATCCCCTTTAGCTAATGGAATTAAAATAATACGTTCCGTTAACCGAATTGTTAAAGAAAAAATCGCCCATAAATAAATAATCCACTCACGAGGCTAAGTATGTATTTGAGCCACATTATTATTATTATTATTTTCCAAAGAATGCGATTCAAACATGGCCTCAAATTCACTTTTTAAGTAAAAAATTCCCCAATAAGAAAAATCTTCATTTATTAGCTAAAATTATTACAAGTGAAAAATCAATCATAAGTTAAAATATTTCACTTATAATAAAAAATGTCTAGAATTTACTTATACGTAAAAAATCAATTATTGTTAATAAAATATTTATATAAAAAAATGTTGTCATAATTCTTCTTCTTCTTCTTTTTTTTTTTTCAATACTTATACATTTTGTTAATACACCGATTACCAATTTTAATACAATCTTTTCTAATTTCATCCCTCCAAACCACAGTCTTCCTAGTTATTTTCCTCTCTAATCCTATACAGTGTGGCAACTGTTACCCTAAATTGAACGAAATTAAATAAACGATATACATGACAACATCTTATATTGTCCAATTTTAATCATCTAACGTGTCATAGCATTAAGTCAAGCATATGATAGTTGTAACTGATTTGATTTCCATGATTGATGGAGAAATTTGTAGAATTAATTCTAGATAAGAAAAACGTAAACGCAAGTGTTCACCTTTTCTTGCAGTAATGTGAAAGTATTGGATGCACGCGGTTTTAATTATTTATTTAATTTTATTTTTTTTTTTAATTTTTATGTTAGGCACGGCTGCCACATTTTCTTGACAATGTATTATTACCAAGTGGCAACATTTTCTTATTCCTCTTTTTGGCACATAAAATGACACCTTAAACCAAAGATGAAAAGGCTGTTAGAACTTTACTCGATTTTTATTTACTGGGACCTATCTAATTAAGTACTAGTTTAAATTAAGAGGCATTTTCAAGAATGTCCAATTTTAGGGGTGTGAATTGAAAAGTGTTCTATTTTGATAATCTTTGCAAAAATGTCCAATTTCTATATCTAATTGTCTACTTTACCCTCATGAAAAGATTAATCAATTTTATATCAATTTGACACAATTTTTTAGAAAAGCAAATAGCTTCTATGAGAAGCCACAATAATGTTGTTATTACCTAACTGAGTCCACTTGCTTACGTTTTTAATTAGATTTTAATCAATTATTCTAGAACAAATGAAGAAGAAGCAGAAATTCCATTAACACATACAAAGAAATATATGATTCCAACTCCAAAGAAATCATTCTATTTCCCGTGCAGAAATTTACTGTCATCTAAATTTGAAGCTGATTAGGCTCTCATCATTTCTCGGTCGAAGGCATATTTCTTTGAACTCTATTTCTTTGATAAGTTGTATTTAATAGTTGTTATATATGTTTAAATCTCAATTTTTTGATAAAGTGTTTTTTTCCTTCAATGGACGAAATTATCCAAACACTGAGTATATATTTTTTGTACCATTCATCTTAAATAACTTAGTTAGATAGTATACTTCTGTATTTAGAATATCATTTATGGTGGAATAAATTCTTGCAAAAATGGTGGTTGAAGTTAAAAAGATGATAAATATATGGAATCCCGTCATTTACTTCTCGACATTTTATAAATGTCAATAATGATAGTATAAATGTCATTCACGACATTTATAAACGTCGAGAATGATATTTATACTATTATTTTCGACACTGTCAAATGTTGACAATAACTTTAAAAACTTGACTAAGTTGGAAAAATTTCGTGTATAGCGTTTCACATATTGCATGTAGGTAGCATTTTCGTTTTCGATTTTCGTTAGTGGCTGACAGTATTGTTGTTTATGACATGCAGCTATAGGAGATGTTAAGAGATTTGTTGTTTCGTATGGTGGTGAATTCTTCAACATGAACGACGAGTGGAAGTGGTTAGGAAATCGAACAACATCAATTGTTGTTCGACATTATATTACATATGAAGAGCTTGTACATAAATTATTCGAGAAGCTGAATGTTGACAGAATGAAGTTCCGAATTCAATTGAAATTTACAGTTCCGAACATAAATATATCCCCTGCTGATGTAGCCGACGATGAGGATTTGCAATGGTTTATGTCTGTTCACACAGAAGCGACGTTGTGTGTAATTGCAGATGACTATAATGCTGGAGAGCACGAACTCCATGTCGGAGTTGAGCCTTTGTCACCAATAGAAGATGCATTGTGTGGACGTGACGAAGTCGGTATGTGCGAACTACAAGAGTCACCAACGATGGATAATACGGATGAAGGTTTAGGTGAAGGGAATTTGTTTATTCGAAATGAAATTGAGTCAATTGATGAAGAGGACATTGTGGAGAATCAGATATTCTTTAGCAAGCAACAGTTACACACAAGGCTTCAACTTAAGGCTTTGAAAGAGAAATTTCATTTCAAGGTTAAAAAGTCGAATCCTAGATCTCTTACTGTGTGTTGTGTCGATACTACTTGCCATTGGCTAGTGCGAGCTTCTAAGATAAAAACTTCAGAAATATTTAAGATTCAAGAGCACACACCTAAGCACACATGTTCTCTAGACGTTCAACGAAATGCACAAATTCACGCAACGAGTGTAGTAATTGGGCATCACATAATGCGAAGGTTGGATGATGCAAACCAATCATACGTTCCTGCGGGTATTATTGGGGATATGGAACGTGAGTTTGGTGTATGGATTACCTACAACAAAGCGTGGAGGGCTAAAGAGAAGGGACTTCAATTTCTTCATGGTACACCCAAAGAAAGTTTTCAGAAATTGCTATCATACTGTCACATGTTAACCGAGAAAAATCCAGGAACTATTGCACACATTGAACTCGACTCGAATAATAGGTTCTTGTACTTTTTCTTAGCGTTCAGGTCTAGTGTACGTGGTTTTCGAGAGTACATGATGCCAGTAATTTGTGCTGATGAAAGTCATTTGAAGGATCAATATAAGGGAACACTACTAGTAGCTGCAGCGCAAGATACTAACCTACAAATATATCATCTTGCTTGGAGTCTTGTCGATGGGGAAACAAATGCATCGTGGTATTGGTTTTTTGCGAAGTTGAAAGATGTCGTTGATGATTCAAACTAGCTAGTGTTTGTGTCGGACAGGAAGAAGAGTATTAAGCGGGCAATTACGAGGTTGTTCCCACTTTCTCACCACGGTGCCTGCATCTGGCATATCGAGAAAAATCTTATTGCTAGGTATAGTAGTAGCAATGTCATATTTTGTTTAAGCAGACAGTGCTTGCATACCGCGTATCAAAATTTGATCAGTTCATGACACAGATAAGAACCATTCGACCGTCAATGGCATCTTACTTGGAACGTGCCGGTATATCCACCTGGTCACGGGCAAATTTTGTTGGTAATCGGTACAACATTATGACGAATAACATTGCGGAGTCACTGAATTCAGTCCTAAGGCAACAACGAAGTTTCTCTATAACCTCGTTGGTCGAAAATATTACGTCATTGATGCAACGATGGTTCTACGAAAGAAAAAGAGAATCCACGAAATGTAGTACGACTATGACACCAAAAATTGATGAGGAATTGAGAAAATCATTCGACGCCGGTGCAACTTTACCAGTACGAAATTTGGACGAACTCGTTTTTTAGGTAGGTGTAGCTACCGAACTTTGTACTGTCGACCTTATAGGTAACACATATTCATGTCGAGAGTTTTAGATGCGACAAATCCCATGTTCACATGCATCCCGAGCTGCTTGCGCAAAAGAAAAATCATTGTATGATTTGTACTCCCCTTACTACACCATAGAATGTTGGCGAACTGCATACAACGAAGTTCTTCACCCCATTGGCCAAGAGTCAGATGGGGTTGTTCCTCGGTCTATTCATTCCATTGAAGTTTTGCCCCCGAGTATACGTAGAGTACCAGGTCGACCTCCTACCCAACGTCAACGGTCAATAACTGAAAGGTCGACTTTGACACGAAAATGAGACCGATGTGGGGGTTCTGGACAAAACAGGCAAATATGTCAGAATTCGACACCTTTAAATGACATGTATACTGGAATGACATTGTATATTCCGATCGTCAAGTGCCCTGATAGCATGGATTATCAATGTTTTGAATATATTTTTTTTGTATTACTTGCTTTCTATCTTAGTTGTTCATCTCCTGTTTTAAATGTTGTTGAATATATTTTTGAGTTTTACTTCTTCCTGTTTCTTTCTTCATTCTCTCTTCACAGCACCTATTTACAATTGCTTATTCTAAAATTAAGTTTGTAATACATTCTGAATCTTTTATACGGATTCATCCCATGTTTTGTGATTTTTCTCTTATATTATCCCTCTCGTTCAAAATTTTATAGCGCACGAACAGGAAAATTCGTATGGGCATTTCACTAAATACAAACAACACTTAATTTTAGAATGTTGTAATGGATACAAACAAGAAAGCTCAGGTTTGGTGTATAACTACAAACAAGGGAAATGGTGATCGCATATATTCTTATGAGCATTTCATTACGATATCATTTCGTTCATCATATAAGTGAGCAATCAGATATCTAATTCATCATTGGGATTTTCTTAATCATTGTAAACACAATGTGGTAATGGATACAAAAACAACCCATGAATGACTCGTTCTCCTAATTCATTGGAGCAGACAAAATGGTAATCACAACAAATGGAAATCATAACTCCAATGCATGTCGTAGACAACTATTATACAAAATGGTGATCACCCCAAAAAATATCCATCACCTATGTGGATTTTATAATACTATTATATGTATGTAAACATTTCACTTACGATAATTGCATTTTCTACATATCCTCCACCACGGACAAAGAGGACATATCACTATGATACTCCTCGTCGGAGCTTATGATGATCACATCTTCCTTTTCAACGGAAACTGCTCCAACATTTTCATCCAATAACACATGATGTGCTTCCGATTGGACCTCTACTGGGACGATCTTATGATGAACTTGAATTAGTTCAATTTTGTCGATTAGATTCGGAAAATGAATTGGTTGAAGGCAAACCCTACGATGACGGTTCGAAAGTTGACGAAAATATGGAATAAAGGCATTGCTTTCATCATCCGAGTCCGAGTCAGGACCCGGGGAGGTCGAAAGTGATAGTAACATCAATAAAAGGAGTATGTTGAGTTGATGAAGACTTAATCAATGGAAAAACTAACTAGTGTTATGAATTTTTTAAATTCCCGTCAGTGCATATTCAAGTAAAGTCCATCCTTTTATAGTGGAGAAACACTTGTCTGTTGAATGCATGAGAAGATATCTCACCAACCAATATGGTTGAAGTCATTAATGATGATTACTTTATAACTTTTTTCACATCAATATGATTGAGAATATACTTGTGCTTGACATACCAATTTTAATTGTTATAATAATTATAAACATGCTTGCTACAGTTTTTGCAGTTATTACTCTAATTGGTTGCCTTCACTCTTCATTAAAATTGGTTGGATCATATTTATCTTGATATTTGATGCCATTCTCGACATTTGGAACGTCGTTATCGATATTAAATAGCTATTAATCTGGACACTTGACATTACAGTTGTCTAGAACGACACTTGGACCAAAAGAAGAGATTTATCTACATTTCAACGATTTCCTGACGTTTGATATGTCGTTCTCGACATTACATAGCCGTGAATCTCGACGCTTGATATTTCATTTGTCTAGAATGATAGTTCGAGAACATATTACATATCACCATATAAACCGAAATATGCAAAACACTGTGTAAACCAAAATAAATATTCCGTACCACCACATAAACCAAAATACATGTTACGTACCACCACATAAAGCAAAATACATATTGCAAACAATGCTATCATGAACCGGCTGATCATCAACAGTCACACAAGAAAAGTATAGCTAAACCACTACAACTTTTTCACTATCGGGGATGAAGAAAGTATTCATTATGACAAAGATCGACCGTAATCTTTCGTCTGTATAGTGACATCATCTCTGCTGAAACCGATTCTATTGGATATCCTAGAACGAAACATTCTATATATTTGAGTACAAACATTATGCAATTTGGCCAGTACAAGAAATGATTTTTTGTTAGTCGAAATTAGTATATACGATAAATTAACTACGGTAGTAAATAACAAGAGTTGAAATGCTCACCCATTGTTCGCACATGGTAAATAAGGTATAATCTCCAACTTCATTCGTTCATTTCTATGTTTATTTATATCTTGTCTGTTGGATAGGGGTGGACACTGCAATAATCCTTGAACAAGTGTGCATGTTACTTCTGTGTGTGTCTTAATTGCATTTGGTGTGTGAACATTATTGTTGCAGTCGTAGATGTGAAATTTCTATTCAGGAATATTGACCAAAAACAAATAACATTCATTGCCTGGATATGAGTTTGAAATTAATAAATACTTGCATCCCATCCACGGACGACCAGCTACAGGCAATCTACCGTTGACGTAGTCTTCTAGGCGAGTTCTATCCAGTTGACCTCTCTGGTTTCCCATTCGAAATTCCATTTGTAACCTCATTTGCTGAGAACACTCCTCTTCAAATTGAAAGTCCAAAATTGCATATTGTTTATTGACGAGAGTACAACCTTCATTCATACGCTGCCTCAATAACTCCAGCTCCAGCTCAATATACTAATGAAATAAATACATGTAACATATATTAGACATATTTTAACTATGAAATCAAATTGATTGTGATTGCAAACCTTCACTCACCGCAATATTCAGATCCTTCGTCGGATCCATTAAAGTTCTCAGCATATCTCTTCCATAGACATTGCCACGGCTATCGTCCAAATATGCACTATATAACATAATTTAAATTACCGTCGAATAAATCAACAGAGAATTTTTGACATTGATATAATAATGTTTAGCATTCGCACTATTCAAAATGAGTTAATTTTGTTACCCAGATTGATTTCTCGATATCCAATTTCTAATGTTTTGTATTTTTTCATGTCGTAGTCTTCTAAAGGACGGCCTGTGGATAACGAAGAGTGTGTTTATTTCATCTTCTTTTCCCTTTCTTTTCTCCACATGTCAACACTTTCTGTTGGTTGAGACGTTGATGTCTCATACGGTTGATCAGTAGGATTTGGACTTGTATGGGGAGGAACATCCTGCTGCATGGAACCTATAATGGCTTCCATGTTGGATTCACAGTTAGATAATCTATTTAGCATATTCTCATTCTTTTCGTCAATATAAGATCTGACAGAACATAAACTTGTATCAACATAAGACTGCATGTGCTCTTATTGCTGTTGGAATAATTTTTCTTGCTTTTGGAGAATCGCCTGATAATGGGCTTCTTGTTGTGCGATTCCTGGGCAATATGAGTGTTAAACATATTTGACAGAGAATTATCCGTGTATGACTGCATACCACATTGCATGTAATCTTGCAACGATTTGTTATGTTGTTCGAACAGTTACTTTTGGCTTTCAAGGAAAGCATGGTTTAGGGCTCTTGATTCTTCAAAAAATTCTGTCTTCAAGTTGCCACATAAACTGGAGGCACCAGAAGCAGAACTAGGCCCAACTCCAGTTGAAGTTCTCGATGTACCACGACTGGTCATTTCTTGCACACGGATGTTATCTGGTATTGGTTGTACTACATTATCTACTTCTCCATTGACGATGACATCTAATATACTATGTTCATTGTCAGCTAGTAGTGAAAGACTTATGTATGAGGGTGTTTGTAATTTTTCTTCCGTAGGCTGCAGCAGTGCAATGCCTTCGATCTGTAATTATAACAAACTATCAGAATCCATTTGTTTAATTGAACTTGTCAATAATTAAATGTGAATGTCATTCTACATTGAAAATAAAAAAAAATCATACATCTTTAGTATCCAAAAATTCTTTAACAATCGATTCCTTCAATATAGTATTAGGCCTCCAATTATAGATTCGTGGAATCTGCACCGTTTTGTATTTACGGCGATCAAACTTTTGTCCAATCTGTGGAAACGCTTCATAGATCCAATACTGAAACGTAATGAAAGAGAAATGTGATGTATATAATTTATTCTTTGTACAAAGAAATTATACATAATACGTCAGTAATTAAAATAGGAACAGAATACCTGAAATGCGAGTGGATAGCCTCGTAGTGCATACTTACATTCTGTTTGTTGGTTCTATTGCATCCTTAGTATTCTTTCCAATTGTGACTCTTTCAATGAATTTAACAAAACGAAATATACTATCCGGCCCCATGGATACGTAAAGAACTCATCAAGATGTTCAACCATGCCCAGAGTTCTATAATCAATTTGTCTTGAAGTCGATTTCAACACACACTCGACCAACACAACTAATCCCAACTTAAATTTATCTTCTTCATTGTCACCCATATGGAAAACTTCAAAAAGCATTCTATTACTAATTTTTTTTTACGCCATTGAAGTATTGATTTGTAAGACGATCATTATTATAATCAATTTCTATGGATGATTCATGGTAAGGTAGTCCAGTAATGAGGTAAAATTCTTGCATGCCAAACCTAGCAAGATGATTATCTAACCGTACCCAAAGTTCATTATTTTTGCCACAACGTACAAGTCTCATTATAAATTCGTGTACCAACTTAATAGTAAATTGTTCTTCTTCTCCTTTGAAAACAACTCCATAAAAAATCCATAAAAATTATTACACATCAAAGAACAATGTTGATTTGTATCTATGAATTCTACAAAATCTTTAACGTATTCACGATTTGGATACTGAATGATGGTAGCAGAAAACTATTGTTCTGTGGAGAGAACGTATTCTAAAGACATCTGCTTGAATTATACAAGAATTAATATTTTTAAACAAATTTAATTATTTTTTAAGGAAAGCTTGTATACTAAATATACTATAAGCAATTGTCCAATTATTCAAAAATTAATATTTTCATTTGATTTTACACATCTAGTATACTAAAACAAAGTACTGTTAATTGTAAAATTATTTAAGAATTAATATTTCCAAACAAATATAATTTTTTTTTTCACGTCTTGTATACTAAAAAAAATTTAAATCAAGTTTAAAAATGTTCAAAAATTAATATTTCAAACAAATCTAAAATTTTTATTTACATATATCGTAAAACATACCAATAGTAGGGGTGGGTTTAAAAAAAATTTAGCATTTCTGTGTGTCACGGAGACAAGTGTCTCCGTGACACACGGAGACGCTGTCTCCGTCACACAAGGAGACAGCGTCTCCGTGTCACGGAGAGGTCTCGTGATTAATGGAGATGGTTTTTTCGACTAAATTATATTTTTCGTGCCAGAAAAATATTTTTTTTGATGATATTCAACTAACAGCTAAGTAGCACAAATCTTGAACACAAATTTTGAATTACTTACCTTTTCCGATCAAATGAGCGCCTTTTTTGAGTGAATGTGGAAAAATATTTCCAGCTAAATGTCTTTCAGAGTAAATGTGAGAATGAGACTTTAATTAAAACGTGTGGAGAGTGAGTGAATATGATAATTAATTTTAGCTAAATGTGTGCATGGGGGAGTGAATGTGAGGATAATGAGTGAATGAGAAGAAGTAGCTAAAAGTGTGCATATGAGTAAATGTCAGAACCATTTTGTCGTGTTATGATAATTGAATGTTGCTGATAGATTATGTATATAGTGAATATATTCGCCTGTAGTTTTGTGATAATTGAATATTTTCCACACATTATGGATATATATCAATGATTTCTTTACGCATCAATATTGTGACTTCTTGTGTTACAATAATTGAAATTTTTTGACAAATTATAAATTTCTTTAATTGAATATTCGTAACTTTTTTTGTTTAATTTATGAAATTATTTTTGAAAATTATTATATCACCCATTTTTCCTTCTTATTGTAAATACCTTTTTGTTTGATTAAAAATTCTTTTTAATTCTTTTTGTTTCATTAAAATTTTATATTGACAAAAAAAAAATTAACATTTTGTTCGATTAAAATTTTATATTGAAAAAAAAATGTTTGATAAATTTATTTATTTTATTAAAGTTAACCGAGTTAATCAATTTTTCCTTACATCTCCTTTTTTTATGTTCGAGTAGGATAACGAAAGACAAAATTTTTCATTTGTTGTCATAGGTAAGAGTTTCAAAATACATAATTTATATATTTTTTAACCTGAAGTTTATTTTATTTTCACATACATAATCACATACAATCACACATATGTTCACATATTATTGAAACAAAAATATAAGGGACATTAACATTTATATTGAAACAATATATTTCTTGACATTCCACTCATTTCTTGACATTTGACGTGTAGTTCTCGACATTAAATGGCTGCTAATCTGGACACCTGACATTAAATTTGTATAGAACGACATTTCAATTAAAGTATAGTATTTCTCCACATTTCATTAGAACATTAACATCTCCTAGTCCACTGTAGGAGATAATAAAGTTATAAACTATTTTTAACATACAACCTTCCGAACATGC